TCTTTGTAAATTACCCAGTCTTAGGTATTCCTTTATAGCAATGTGAGAACAGATTAAAATACCTTATATGATTTCTGCTGTCTATCCTTTTCAGCACAGCTCCCTCCCTTGGGCTTCCATAGTAGTCTATGCATATATCTAGCAATTGTACTTTTTTCAATGTATTTTAACTGTTTGTATATCTTTCTCTTTCATAAGATGATCAGGAATCATTTTTAATCTGTCTTTCCGTGTCTACCTCTCACCCCTATGCTTGGCATATAACAGATACTCAGTAAATATTTCTTGGAGCAAATTTAATGGAGGTAATAGTTGAAACTTGGAGAAAGTGAAATCTCCAAGAGAAACATAAATTTATTGTGATTTTCATGTATACTGTTATTTAAGAAGCCAGGCTAAACTCACAGGAAAAAGTTAAAGTTGATTTATGTTTTGTTTCTTAACAAGTATTTCTGATTATATTCATTTTATTTGTTCTTCCCTCCTAATTTAGAAGTAGCACATCTTCACCTGAAATGGAGTTTTCGTTTGCTCATTTTAATTTAAATTCACTTAAACTTTAAGTTGAATCACAAAATAATCAGTTTTTATGGGTCAAACATCGATATCGGCAATTTTTTTTGTTCAACCCACAGTATAAGGATTCAGAACTAAGTAGCTTCTTTGCATGAGTTTACTGTATTTTTACATAGCTCACATAGTCTATGTTTCTTGGTATGAGTAACTTTTATAGTTGATATAGATCGTCTCAATTCAGGTGCTGCCTCAGGTGGTCATGAAACTTCAAATGAGGGTACTATTTAAGCAAAAGTTGGAAAGTCATGCATCAGAAAAGCCTCAGAATGGACTTTTGTATTCTGTAGGAAAATGAACTCTATTACTACCTCCATGTTCACTCCCAACTTCCAATTACATGACTCTATGAGAGTTAAAATAATGTAACATAATTAAAATGTTAATTTGTTCCTTTATGCCTGTCCCACAATTGAATTTTCAAGCAGTTGATTACATTTCTCTCTGTGGATTCAGGAAACCGTTAGTCTCACATTATCTAATTTACTAAACATATTTTGGCCCTTACAACTTTTCCATTAGTCATTCCTAAACACATTTAGCACAAATGAATAAGACGATGTTTGATGTTAATGAGCATTGCTTCCTGGAGGAAGTACCGGGACTGCAGGTACAGTGGGAAACCAAATGTTAGGATTCCAAAACCTTGGAATTCTGAACCTCTAGTCCTCAGCTTGGGCAAATTGGATCTTATTAGAAAAGGTAACCTACTATTAATATAAATGTCAGCATTTAAATGAATTTCAGTGTTATGAATGTTTGTGTTAAGATGAATTTCAGTGTTATGAATGTTGGCATTAAGATGAATTTCAGTGTTATTAGGAATTTTGGTGTTAATATTTTACTTACAGCTGATTCCTTAATTCCCTCTAACTTTTAAACTTAAAATAATCTTTGAAACTAAATGAGCTGAAAATACCTTTTAAAAATAAGAAACACATTTAGATTCTGGTGCACAGCAAATTCCCTGTGAATAAAACTTCCAAATTTGTGATTCTATTTGCATTTCCATAAACACAGTCTTTGTACTTATTATGTGACAAATAACGGTGTTAGAAATGTGGTGTTTTAAGACTCTAATTATGCATATGCTCCCATTCTCATTGGTGTATATATTTCAATGTAAAGCTATACAAAACTTGCACTTTGGGTTCAAGAGCTTTCTTTTTTAAGCTGGTATTTTAATGAATTTTAACTAACATTGACCTCATTTAAAGGAATTAAAATATTAAGAAATTTAAAAGGTGCTAAGGTGCCACTTCTCCTTGGGAAGCAGACTCTGAAATGCAGATGAGCATGCAAAATATGTATTAAGAATTGCCATGAGGGTCAACACCTGGAAAGGGAGGGAAGGAGCCAGGAGTGGGAAAAGGAAGATGAGCTGTGATGCAGGCCCAGCAAAGGTCTCAGGCAACATCTCAGTGAGCTCCCTGGCTGACCTGAGTCTTTTTAATTGGCCAAATCAGGTACAGGGGATCCTCTAGACCTCACATTGATCAGAGAGACTAGATTGTAGACCCCTGAGTTCTCACAGTCACATGAGAGTTCCAGGTCCCAGGCATGGTAAGGAAGGAGCAGAGAGTTCCAGAACTGAAGACTATGTGGTCTAGACCACAGATGAATTATGGGTAGTTGATATGGACAAGGTCCTTCACACCTGAAGAAGAATCCCGGTAGCCCATCACATGACCAACATACCTGGGTTTCAGGCTGACTGTGGTTATGTTCCCAGCTCTCTTGCTAAATAAACATAAATTTAAATTCATTGAAATTTAATAAAATCAAAACTTGAGTTTCTAAGTTACACTAACCGCATTTCAAGTGCTTAGTAGCCACATGTAGCTGGTAGCTATTGTGTCAGATAGCACAGAGCATTTCCACCAGAAATATTGAGATATTAGGCAAAATTGAAAAACAGAATTGCAGAACATTTTGCTGGACAACACGAGTATTACACAGCCACATCTCTTGGAGGTCTTGCTGCCTCCCTGGGATACTTCCAGGAAGAGGCCCCTTCCCTCTATTCCTCTCTCCTTCTCTAAATCTAAGGACAGTCTCTTTTTAGTCTCCATAAACCATTAAGAAATATCTTCTTAATTTTATTTTTTAAATTTATACTTGGCATGAATCTGATTTGGTTAACTATAACTGGGATTAATAGCAACTGAAAAGTGTTTTCATTTCCTTAAGGGAAGGCCAGGATATGAGGAAATATTTAGATTCATCCCACTCATTCAGTTAAAGAAAAAGAAGAAAACCAGTTGGACATTCTATTTAAACCGTAGGGACATTCATTCCCTGCCACAGTAACACCCACAAACACAATATTGGTCAGCAAAAATTAATCAAAAGCAATACAATTATGACATTAAATCTATTTTAAAACATGGCAAATACAACATTTTAGACTTAGCCTGCTCCAAAATAAACCATATTTGATAATACAAACCTGCTCCATTGGGCAAACCTTTCCATGAGTCACCTTCTTTAATTATTCACTAAACATTGTTTCGGTAGCTTTAGTTGCCAATTCTTCTGTAGCAATCTTCCATGAGTTTTTGTAATGCAGACTGCATCTCTTTTGAAACATTTCTGGACAAACCCTTCCAGCCTTGGAATTTAATGTCTTCAGTAGCATTCATTATTTTTTTTCTTCTGGAGCTTCAGCAAAATTCTTACCATCACATCGACCACTTGTGATGTTTGTGTTATTATTTTGCTCCACTCTAGTGTTCAGAGCAGCCTTGAAAGGGTGGAGCTGAAGATCTTTCCACATCACCCATAGGCCCTCCCATGAGTCCCATGGGAAGAGGAAGATATGCTTCTTATATTCATGGTCTCCAGTGAAAGGGAACTGCACTACATCACACATACATACACGTGTTGCATTTTTACAACATATAACTGAAAATTATACAACTGCACCATGTAAAAAACTGGTCTTGCACCACTTTGTGATGTTGACACAGGAGAAGGACTGCAATCTAGGAGTGGACATCCGTCAGAGTCCTCACCTCCCCAAGTTTGACACTACAGTCTCTCAGACTAGGATTCATTTCTTCATTGGTTTAGTCATTTATTTATTGAAGTATACACGTGATAAACAGTGGGCTAGGCTTTGGGGGTTTATTGGAGTATATAATGAAGAATCTCAAATAAGAAACAAATTATTCCATGTATTAATATGATGAAATGCCCAACAGTTCAGTCTAGTAAAGCTTGGATAGGAGAGTGTGGCTTATTGTTGGGGCTAAAGTGGGGCTCCCAATGCCCTTCCCAAATATACGCTGTAAGTGAAGATATGTGCCTGAGCCAGTAGATGGGAGGCAGATGATGACAGACCCTCCAAATCCAAGCCTAGTCTTTAATCAGTTGCATGAACCTGGATCACAGCTGTGCAGCATACCAAGTCTTGGGCACAACAGAGAAAAGGCAGATAGCCCTCACCCTTGAAATAAATGATCTTGCCCATCAGAGAGATGTTGCCAGTGAATGAGTCATTCCCCTGCCAAAGAGAAGGACCTGGTGAGGGTAGAGAGGGGAATGGACACCCACTGCAAGTCACTCTACTCCTTGAAAACAAAGAGCAGACCCCGTAATGGTCACTGGACCCAGGCAGCATAAGAAGAGAGTTTTTAAACTTCTCTCTTCCTACCAGCAGTTCCTGCCTCATAGGAATATTGAGGGGAGGGAGATTAAGTAAAATACAGTGTTTGTATTGATAGGTGTGTGTCTAGCAGGTAGTCGGGGTCTGACAAGTAGCAGCAGGTTCTCTTTTCCTTCCCCTCTCTGATATCTTAAGAGTTTCTTGAGAAAAGGTGCTGGATCTAAGTAATTTTTGCAGTATGTTTATTGAATGGAATTGTTTTCTTTATTGAGACTTCAACATGCTTAGCAGTGAGCTTATTTAGTTTAAAAATACAGTAGAATTCTAGGATTTTTTAGACCAAAAAGGGGCCTTTGAGATTATAAACCGATGTCTTCATTTTACAGAGGAAGAAACCAGGGCCCAGTGAGCTGGGAGAATGAGGATTCAAGCTCCCAACTCAGAGTGCTTTCCACTTTTCACTAGAAGCACCTCAAAGGTGGTGTTTCTGTCAGTCTGTATCCCGAACAACCCAAAAAAGTGTCTGGCATGTTGTTGTCTCTTATATAATATTTGTTAAATACATTAATTCACCATATTTCCTGCTCGGCCTTTAGCAGTTGTAGATAGCTTGTGGCTTTGCAAGACTATTATGAAAGATGCAATTCATGATGTAACCTTCTCTACACTGCATATAGGGGCTTCAAGTTTGAGTCTTTCATGGAATATGTAGAGAAAAAATTAAAACACTTTAGTATCTTTTAAAATACATATATGGATATTTTTAAAGGTACATCAAGGAGTAATGCACGACTTGGTGTGTGTTTCATTTTTATTTTAGGTAGGAGAAGTAATCACAGGTGGTCAGCGAGCATTCAGATCTATGAAACCTACCTCAGACAGGAGCAGAGAACAAACAAATGCAAGGTACTACCCTCCCAGTCTGTCCTTAGCTGTATGATATTGTTCTCTTCATTTTCATTTGTTGGTTGGAATGCAGCTTCCAAAATTATACAATTATTTAAAGTTTTGAGATGATTCATACCATGAATGTTAACGTTTGTTTCCCAAACCATGGACGCTTGCTTTGTAGGGCTCCTGATTCCTAAAAATCAGATGTGTGTATATACAGGTCCCAATGTCTCGTCATAATATGCCTCGACTGGTAATGTCAGCACCAATGACGGGCTAACATTTACCGAGTGCTTGCTTCATGTCAGGTGCTATTCTGTGTGCTTTACTCATATTAACACATTGAATTCTCATAATTTTTATGCCCAGTTTACAGTTAGGGAAACTGAGGGAGAGAGAAACGTAGAATATACTGAAGGCCATGTAGCCATGACATGCTGGGACAGCCCTACTGGTAGTGTTGCTGTCACTGCCTCCCTTTTATGATCCGTGTGTCACTCCACAGACTCCTCAACTCCCAGGGGTACAAGGGCCCCTCCTGTCAATCTCCTGACTGTTGGTCATTTTCTGGCCTTTGCTTAAATTCCTTTCCCAAGAGGACCCTCACCCTCTCAAGAGAGTATTCACTTCATTCCTGGTATCCTCTACTGTTAGACAGCCTCTCTCTGTCTCTCTTTGATTCCTAAGTGAAGGCCTAGGCTCTGCTTCCTGGAGACCCTCAGAACCAAGTCAGTCTCCCTTAAGCAGTGACATCCCTTAAAGTAATTTGTGCAAAGCTCTCCCCTTTCTCTGTTCTCTAGAATGAGATCCCAGTTCTTCCAACTGTCCTGCTTCTTATGATTTTCAGACTCTTATCATCCAGATGGTAAAATCTATTTTGAAGTAAAGCAAGCTATCTTTGTGATACAAATGTATATGCTAGATTTACCACCATAAAAATACCTGAACAAGAGCTATATTTATGTGTTGCATAATAAAGCAGTCAGGCATTGGTATATTCAAAGACAACTGCTGAAGTTTTGTAGAGATTTTTAAACATGAGGTTTGTTTGAACAACAGGTATGCAATTGAATTCCTACTGAAAAGTGGGTTGCTGTTTTTAACCTTGGAAATCCACTCTATTTCCCAGCTCAGTGATTTCCATTGCACATACAAGATTCACGGGTATTATGACTATTATGAATATTCACAGCCATAATTAACCCCCAGCAGCATCAAAACATGGAAAGAGTCTGAATCTAATTTGTGAGGAATCAGCAATGGAAAGCCAAATCATTGCAAACAGTTCGGAGCTGGTTTTCAGACCCCAGGAAAACTATCATTACTGTGATTACACTTGAGGATTCAAGATGCCTTAGCATGATTCGTCGTAATAGCCCCCTCTGTGGTATTTTTGCAAAGCCTTTCTTTTTCTTTTTGATTGCAGAGAAATGATCACCCCACAATCACATATAAAATGCCTGTGTGAAGGTAGTTTGTGGTGCTCTTTATCACTGGCACACTCCATTGTGCATGTTGTCTCAGCCTCAGGCTGGGCAACCCCATTAACTAAGCAGCTGCCCATTGAAGCTGCTCGTGGGAACTGAGGTCAGGCAGGATTGTTGGTTTTAGGCAAAGGACTGTCGATGCAGCTGGCCACTGGGAGGGCCACAAGAGGCCCTTGACTCTCTCTTGGCAGAGTGGTTTGTTTCTCATGGTGGGGAGAAAGTAAATGGAGAGGGAAGAGCAACTGGGGTAGGGTTTTATTCATCAGGACCAGAGGGTAACAGTCAGTGACCTCTTGTGGTCCCGTAACACCATAGAATGAAGGAAGATGCACAAATTCCTCCAAATGAAGCGATTTATTGAGTGGTGATTCTGCTACATGATGCTGTGTATTATCTTTAATCTTCAAGAACAACCCTGCAGGTAAATACTATTATTTCTAATTTACCGAGATGGAGAGGCAACATTTGCCCAAGATCTCAAAGTCAGTAAGTGGTAGAACCAGTTAGATAACCTCAGGCTTGCCTTCTTAATCTCTTCCTGGTATCTTTTAATAAACAGAAGATCTTGATTTTAAAATAATCGAAATTGTTAAACGTTTGTGTGGTTAATTATTTTATTTTTGTTCTGTTCTAGAAATTCTATCCTGCTCTGAGGTCATAAAGGTAGCCCTACATTTTGTAAGGCTTTATACTTCCACCTTTCACATTTACATATAATTTGATGAAACATCTAATCCATCAGGAATTAGTTTTGTTTAAAGCATGAACTTTAATTTTTCCCAGTGCAGGCACCCTGCTGTCCCTGTGTCTCTTATTAAAATGGTTATCCTGTCTACATTAGTCACCAAGGCCACTTCTGTCACAGACCAGGTGTCCACATCTGTATGGGTTTGTCTCCATTCTGCTCTACTTACTTAATTTCCATAGTCTTACAATGAGCTTTATAAGTGGTAGGAAATGTCCTCTCACCTTTTTCTTCTTGAAGATTGAGTTGGCTATTTTATTCCTTTGCACTTACATATATATTTCAGAATCAACTGGGCAAGTTTTGCTTACACACAAACACACACACAGGTGTGTATTGGGATTTTCTTTGAATTGTATTGGCCATCTAGATCAATTTAGGGAGAACAATTCTTGTAGTATTAGTATCTCTCTGTCTTTTCTTTGATCTTATTTGATATCTCTTTGTAACTTTTCCATAAGCATACCCATGTGTTAATTTTTAGGTGTGTGATACTTTGATGCTATCATAAATGTATTATTTATTTTTTCTCTGTTGCTGGTATATAGATTGCAATTTACTTTTTCATTGTGGCAAAATACACATTACCTCAAATTGGCCATTGTAATCATTTAACAGTGTACAATTCAGTGGCATTTAGTATATTCACAATATCGTGTGACCATCACCACTATGTAATCCACTTTTATGTTTGATTTTGTACCCAGCAACTTTACTAACCTCACTTATTACTTTATTAATTAATCTGTGGGTTCTTTTAGATTTTCTAGATGCCTGCAAAGAATGATAGCTTACCTGCTTGCTTTCTGACTGATCCGTATCTCTTTTATTTCCTCTTCCTGCCTTACTGCACAGGGAAAGGCTCCAGGATAGTGTTGAATAGAAGAGTGATGGCAGCATCACTAAGTCCAGAGGGAAGTTTTCCATCTTTTGCTAGAAAGTCTGAGACATGTTATTTAAACATAGTAATTGTAGTGGTTTTATAGTTCATATTTTCATATTCCAATATCTGAAGTTTTCATGTTTCTATTTCTGTTCCTGTTAATTCTGTTGGTTCTCATGAAAAGTGCTTTTTTTTCCCTTGAATAGTTGATTTTTTTTGTTTGTTTATTTGTTTTTTTGAGACAGAGTTTTGTCTTTGTCACCCAGGCTGGAATGCAGTGGCATGATCTTGACTCACTGCAACCTCTGCCTCTGAGTTCAAGCGATTCTCGTGCCTCAGCCTCCTGAGTAGCTGGGACTACAGGCACTTGCCACCACGCCCAGCTAATTTTTTTGTGTGTTTTTAGTAGACACAGGGTTTTGCCATGTTGGCCAGGCTGGTTTTGAACTCGTGGCCTCAAGTAATCCACCCACTTCAGCCTCCCAAAATGTAGAGGTTACAGGCCTGAGCCACTACATCTGGCCTAGTTGTTTATTTTATACTGTGAGCTACTGCATATAGAACAGTTTTCTGAGTGACCTTAGACCAACCCATTTCCCCCACTTTCTTACTTGGAGTTCACAAGAATAACTGTGGAATGTTCTGGGAATACAACATCTTGAGATAAGAGGGAGATGGCTGAAATAGCCTCAGTTCTGTTTCAGCCGTCTTCCACACTCCGGAAACAGATGTCCTTCAGTGCATTAGCCCAGTGATCATGTGACCCAGGGGTATACAATCCAGGATGGGCTGCTTCCTGGGGTCCCTCTGCTATCTTGCAAGTGAGGCATGTGCAGAAGAGACTCCATCTGCTTCCCAGGCAGCTTTCCTGAGCCTTGGGGTGCAGCTCCCAATGCACCTATGGTTTCTGTTATCCCCTGCTGCCTGTCTATAAGTAATAAATCTGATTCACGTAGCCTGTCGTATGTGTGGGTGTTCTGTTTTACTGGACTCAGGAAAGTTGGTAACCAGTGCAAAGGGAACTTGTTTCACAACCCACTGCCTAGGAAAATAGTCTGGTGGTTCCTTAGAGGCCTGGGAGGTACTTGGCCAGGGAACACTGGCATGTGCTGCAGAGAAAAAACACTGCCAATTTGGAACCACTTTCATCTAAATTCAAGACTGAGGCTTTTTAACCAACAGCTGCCGTAAACTTTCTAGTTTGTGGTGACAACTCAGTTTTCCTCTGCCCTACTGAAGCAGCTTTCCTCAAAGTGCCCTGGGGAGGGAGGTGAGCAGTGGGCATTTACTCTTAAAGCAAGAAAGCTGTTTGGCACTGCACCCTTATTATGGAGAGTGTGTCCCATTAGACTGCCCACTGGCATGCTCCGGCTTTGGCCTCTGTCTTCAGACTCTATAAGGCCAGACTGACCAAAGCACACCTTCAAGGGCTCCCCAAGTACTCTCAGGGCAAAGGTGGCTTCAGGGCTCTGTTCTTCTCTCTGAGTTCCCACTTTCCTTGAATTCCGACCTTGTAGTTCCTTGTGATCATATGGAGTCTTTCATGATCTCAAGAAAGTTTTCAGTGAGACGTGGGAGTCTTTGGTCCAGATATGCTAGCTTACTCGAAAACCAGAAAAAAAAAAGTTCTTTCTTTATGTTTTTTTTTTTTTTTTTTTTTTTTAAAAGGAATGAATCTCTGATGTGTTTTGCACTTAGTGCTTTGTTTTAGGCATTTTCTTTTTTCTTGCTTATTTCCACGATGATAAATTTGTTGATTTTGCCTTCCAGCTATTCTTATTGGATTTTAGAGGTTCTGTTTCTGACAGTCAGGTGGGGGGTAAGACCAGTGATAGGCATCTGTCCTAGAGGCCTCTGACATTAAGGCTGCCTCTCCTGTTTACTTTGGAGATTACTGTGA